CTACTTTGTATATGAATTTGTTCCAAATTTAGAATCTGTCCTGGTGAACTGTGGCAGTGGAACGTGGTTCATCTACTGTGCCGAGGAGTGTGCTCTCAGCAGGAGATGGCTCCCAGAGAAGGAGCTGTCCCCTGAAAGGGCTGGTTTTCCTTGGGTCCCATTTCCTGGGCTCCTGCATGCCCCTGGCGTTGATTCTCATGGAGCCCAGACCATCCTAGGTGCTTAGACTGTACTGAGAGGCTTTGCAGATGAGGATCGATTAGAGGGGAACCAGGCCTGGACACCCAGATACGATCAGAGCCTGAACTATTTATTCTCTGCTCTTCAGTGCCTCTGCTGTTAAACTTCTCTTTAGTCAAATAAATATTAGTTACTGACATATTGCTAGAAATAATGAGGAGTATAAAAATGCGTTTTGGAGATTAGGATGTTAAGAGAGACCAGTATAAAAGTGTGATAGAGAGGTTGATTATGTGAGCTTTGAAGTCACACCACCTGATCCCAGCTCCATCATTCCCAAGCCGACGTTCAGGAGCCCTGGACAAAGGAAAGGAGAGAAGGAGGAAGGAAGACAGAAAGGGAAGAATGAAAGGAAAGGAGGGAGGGAGGGAGGGTGAGGGAAGAAGGAAGGAAGGGACAGACATTAGCTGAATTTTTTTTCTGAATTTGGTCAAAAGCAGCAACCCCCAGAGGCTAAAGGTTGGGTGTGCCTGGCTAGCCCAGTGGTGACCGTCCTGCCCTAAAAAGTAGCTGTGGACCCTGGATCCACGCCACCCATGCAACCTCAGTGTCTTCCCTTTTGTTGCATTCCTAGAAGGGCACCAATCAGAGATTGCTAATTCAACAAGAATCATCTTTTAATTGGGCATAAAGAGCAGTGTGGGTAGCCAGGTGCGGTGGCTCATGCCTGTCATCCCAGTGGCTCAGGAATTTGAGGCAAGAGGGTCATGAGTTCAAAGCCAGCGTCAGCAACTTCAAGGTGCTGAGAAACTCAGTGAGACCCTGTCTCTAAATAATATGCAAAATAAGGCTGAGGGTGTGGTTCAGTGGTGTGGTCCAGTGCCCTTGAGTTCAATCCTTAGTACCAATAAGAAAAAAAAAAAAAAAAAAAGTGTGGGAAAAGAGAAGTTTGAGAAAGGGCTTTGGAGATTTGCCTTAGTGGGGTGCTCCAAGAGAGGCGAGGGGAGGGTCCAGGAAAGCTGCAGAATGCAATGGAAACTTAAAGAGGGGTCATACAGAGGTTTAGAACTCTGGAAGAAGATTGTTCGACCTCAAAGACACACTTTGCCTCTTTAAAATATTGGCCTAGGCCCAGCCTTCCATCCAGGTAAAGAGAAAATGTTTCCTTTCTCCTTCTTTCCCTGTCTGGGTCCCAAGCCCACTTCCTCCCGAGACCTAGTCCAGGGTGATCATCTTCTCATGACATTGCTAGTTCCTTTAAATCCAGAAAACCATCTCTTTTTATGTAGTTTCTGTGCAGAAATGCTTTTCAGAGTGCAGACCCTACGACTGTTGTAGTTTTTGTTTCCTTTCAGGTGCACTCACTGTTAGAAAATACCACTCTCTTAGTTCCAAGCAGATCTTTGACTTGGTCAAATTCCCATTTCCAAATAGTGTCATTAGTGGGTCCAGAAGGGATTGGCCCGCTGTGTGTTGCCGCTGTGTGTTGCTGTGTGTTGATAAATGGAGGCTGCCAAGAACTCGTTGGCTTTGCAGATGGACGATCTGCTCCCAAGTTACCTTTATCGTTAACAGAACTGACTTTAAAAAGAATCAAGTAGAAGGAGAGAGGTGCTGGATGTGTGTGAAAATTCCAATCTACTTTGACACCTTCTTAAGGTCTTCTTTTGATCAATGACAAATAATCCCAGCCCCTCCCTGCTATAATATCAGGGTAAAATACTAAAAATATCAGCACTGCCTGCTTTTGACCCAGATCTATTTAGACTAGCAACAGCCTGTGACTGTTTACATGGAGGGGATGGGAGTCAACCCACTGCTCCTGATGTGCATTTTAATAAGCCACCTGACAAGATCAACAGGAAGAAAAGAAAATCCATGGCGAACAGGTGTGAGGGAGCCTGAGGAAGAGAAACCCTGCCCTCCCCCTCTGACTCAAGTCCCCACACTGTTAGGCTCCCAGGACCCCCTGGCTGGTAACACTGCCCTCATTGTCCCTGGTGTGGGCTCTGATAAAGGGAGCCTAGAGTTCCCAACGAATTCCCCTGAGCCTCCAGCCAGAGGAAACTGGATTTCCATAGCAATCGCCTGGCTGTCACAACCCCCAGTGCTTCTGAGGAGGGCTGTTCCTGACAGCTGCATCTCCATGGAAATGTGTGACACTTTGTTGACGAGTTGTCTCTTTCCAGATGGACATTGCCATTCCACGCCGCCGGCCGTTGAGAAATCTGACAGATTTTAGTATTTGCTTTGTACAAATTGAGGCTTCTCCGAGGGTCTTTTTGGTTTTAGGCTGTGATGGGTTTTTGTGCAGGGTGTCCTGTGAGCAGGCTCGATGGCTGTTTGTTTTCTCTTTGTGTTCCCCTCACTCTGACGGGGCCAGCCGGGATTGTTAAGGACACGTTGAAACCTCCCTTCTTTCTCAATTGGAGGAGAGTCTGTCTTGAGGTAAAAAGAAGAAAGGAAAAAAAAGCTTGCGCTTGGAAGAATGCTACTTTGGAAGTCACATCGCCAGGAGCATTTTCCATTTCATCGGAGAAAAATATTAGAAAAATATTAATAGTTTGCTACTTCCAATTCAGTTGTGTTCCCTGGAGGGATAAGAAAATAAAGACTGAATACTGCCCGGCTACTCAGAGTGCATCCGCACTGAGTTTGTCTTGGCACGTGGGAGAGGACATGCAGAAGCATATAGGTCCTAAAATCCTACCATTTGAGAATTTGGGTCTTATAGGCAAAAATAATAGAATCCACTAGAATTGTGGTGTGTGTGTGTGTGTACACACATCTATATATATATAGACATACATATACACTCGACATAAATACAAATATGACATGAATTTTATGTATCATCTATAACAACATGTTATTTATATATAAAGTCATTAGAGAGTTGTTAGAAACAACTAAAAATCACAGTTCAATTTAGTTAAATATTTGTAATTAGCTCATACAAATATTATGCCCCTGCAAATATTAATACCCCCCCAAACTGACGTTGGGAGGCCTGTTATAACTTTCTTTTAACCATTATTTTTATTTCTGTGTAATTGTATCAGAGCCATGATTTGTCACTGTCTTTTCTTTTTAAATTAACAGTTGTTTTTCCAACTCCTGAGTGAATAATCCTTAATTAAATAGATCAGGATTATTAATTTACTTTCACTGTTTTCTGAATCAAAGTTGGAATGTGAAATCCTTTTGTGTTGTAATTGCGCAGCAGGATCCACTGATAACGCGCTAATGCATTTAGGACTTGGAATTCTTGAAGGGCTTATTACTGAATTCTCACACTAGTTTCTCAACTTTCTTTGGAAAGAAGCAGCACCAATACCTATCTTGAATGGTCAGATAGAAAAAACAATTGGTTTAGTCATGAACATGGAGTTCTTATGTGGACATATGCAAATGAATCACCTTCCTAAGGATGATAATTTGTGGAAACACTTGACCAGCATAATTGCTTGGAGAAATGTGGCCATCACAAATGTCTTCAGGGCTAATGTGTTCAGGGTTAATATCAGAAAACATGAAACTACATTAGAAATTGGCATTAGAAATCCTAACGCAAGGCATTATGTAAGAATATAGTTGTTATAGCCAAATAATCAGACAATAATACATTCCAACTTTTTAAACAAAAGCCCAAACTCTCAATGATCTATGATAATGCTCTATGATAGCTGTCTATCATAGTTAGACATTGCTTCTTACCATATGCTATGCAGTCGTCAGTGTGTGTGTGATGAAATTTCCTAATGCCTTACTTTGTGTGAATTTTCCCCCACAAATTGGATTAAAGATGACTCAAAGTCACACCTATTTTTGAACTTAGGATGTTCCAGTCATTTCCTGTTGACGGGAATCTGATGAATATGTCATCGCTGTTGTCACCAACCCTCTGCTTAGAGAAGTTCATTAGCTGTGGGCTTTCCTGAGTTTGTTCTGTAATGGGTATTGATCTGGGATTGGTGTCCCCTCTCTGGCTATAGCAAAGTCTTGGTCCCATCCATTCCCTTCTCTACTTTCTACCCTTAAGTGATAGATCTATGTGATAAATACTGCAGCTTTTCACATATATGACTTTACAGAGATGAAATGAAAGTATATATGTGGGGTGTATTATTTGTTTGTTTTTGTTTTTGTAGTACTATGGATTGAATCCAGGGCCTCACACATGCTAGGCAAGCGCTCTACCACTAAACTACATCCCCAGCCCTGAAGCATATCAAATGAATAATAAAGAAATGAAATAATGTCACATGCTCAAATTTAATATAAGGATCATAGAACATTTCTGTTCCCAATTGTTAAGGTCTATTTTGTTCATCATCCCAACTCTTTTGTTTTAAACAATGCTTTAGGTTTTTCCAAAAGAGAAATTAAGGTCCAGATGTACTGCTGAAAATTGCTGCTATAGGCATTTTGGACTAATATTTTCTTGGGGGAAAATAAGATCATTCTCTCGAGTCTTCTTGGGGCATTGTGTGAGGTGTCTCGGTATGTGTGGGTTCCAAATAGTCCAAGTAGACAGAATAACCTGTTTCCACTCACCACTTACTCTCTCTGAAAGGAGCCAAGCAGTCAGACTGTCATTAGCTGAGCTTTCTCCAGTCAACAGAGAAAAACACCTCCTAAAAGGACCGGATCCAAGACCCCTCTAGATTGAGCCTCTTCTAGATTGTTCCAAATGAACCACATATAAAACAGCCTCAGGGGAAAGGGTCTAACAAATCACGCACTGGGCTTTTCTAACTGACACTTTTCCATCATTGTGGGAAAAATTACAAGATGTGTTTTCTTTTTTTGGCACTCAGATGAGTATAGGATCAAACCAGTGGAAGAGGTCAAATACATGAAAAATGGGGCAGAAGAGGAGCAGAAAATAGCAGCCAGGAACCAAGAAAACTTGGTAAGAATCGAATTTCTCCTTTGACAATGAATTTTGGTGATACCATTGTAATAGGATCCACACTGCATGTTTCAGCTGCAACTCACACACTTCTTGAAAGCGCTGCGGTTATTTATAGCCTGCCTGGAAGCTGCACCATTACTCCTGTATCCTGTTTGTCTGAATAAACCCTTCTTTAATCTTGATGGGAGTGCACCCCGGAAAATGCAGTGCACTTATTCATGTTTTAAAGTTCTAAATTTAAAGGTGGGGGGGGATGGTGCAGGATTGAGATTTATGGGAGGAGGTTTGGTTCACTTGGGGCTTTTTCTACCCCTCCCCCTTTTTTAACTCTTATCCAGGTCAAGGTGAATGGTAAAGTTTCCGTATTCTGAGCGTGTAATGCCATTGATAAAGTTGCCTTTCAAGGGAAAATAACGTACTTCCAGGGTGGGTCTCCATCCAGGGTCAGTGCCCCCCACTCACAGTGTTAAAGGTATGTGGGTTTTGAGTTAGTTAGCAGGAAATGGTAATGATAGGAAATAGGAAGTTAGGAACTTTTTTTTTCCATATGAATCAATATATACCTTAATATTCCATCTCTATAAAAATATTTAGCTGACTGTCTTATTAGATGATTTCTTAAAAGAGGTTACAAATAACTGAGAATCTACATTTATTCAGTTGTATTGGTGCCAAACAGCTTTTTATGTATATTTTATTCTTGAATTGTTTCCTTTCATGATTGAGTGAACGTATTTTTAAGAAGCCTGCAATATCGTAAAGTATTTCCACTTCACTTGAACTCCTCTTTCTATTATGTGCAGTTTTCATCTTTTGATTTCTGTTATAGCAGAGGGAGTTGGCCAGATAGTAACCAATGCACAATGATTGTTTAAGGTTATCATTTTCCTTGATATTCTAGTGAATATTAGAGGCTATTTGTTTTATCTTTATTCTCTTCTGAATGCATGAGCTATAGCATGAGAACTAAAGTACCAACAAGTAAATATTAGATCTTTTTTTTTTTGCACTGGGGATTGAACCCAGGGGCACTGAGTCACATCCCTAGCCCTTTTTTGTATTTTATTTAGAAACAGGGTCTCACTGAGTTGCTAAGTGCCTCGATAAGTTGCTGAGGCTGGTTTTGAACTCTTGATCCACTTGCCTCAGCCTCTAGAGTCACTGGGATTACAGGTGTGCGCCACCACGCCCGGCTTGCATATTAGATCTTTTTTAAAAGTGAAAACACTCTCGATAATAAAATGTTGATTCATAAATGTGATTTGGATCGTGTGTGTGTGTGTGTGTGTGTGTGTGTATGTGTGAGATTTTGATCTTAAAGTATCACTTAGTGACAGAGATTCATGCCTACAATGAGGATATATTTTACTATCAACATTAAAACCCAGGGAAAGGTAACAGTAACTAAATAGTAGAAATTATTATTATCAGACTTTATTTTTTAAACTGGAGGTAGAACCCAGGGTTACTTTACCACTAAGCTACATCCCAGTCCTTTTTATTTTATTATATATTTTTCTAATTTTGAGACAATTTCTTGCTAAATTGTTGAAAGTATTGCTAAGTTGCTGAGGCTGGCCTCAAACTTGTGGTTCTCCTGCCTCAGCCTCCCAAGTTGCTGGGATTATAGGCGTGCACCACCATACCTGGCCTGGGTCACTCTTACTTATCGTTGAAACCACAGGCTAATAAGTATCACTTCTAAGAGAAACCTCTAGACCTCACTAGCTATGCTAGTTCTCCTTTAGTCTCCCTGACTATATTTGTGTTTTCCTCTATAGTACTCAACATAGCTGTTTTGGAATACCTCTGAGTAACTTGCTTAATGTATATTCCTCTTTTAGAACGTAAGCTCATGAGGGTAAAACTGTTTCATTTTGGTTTATAGTTAAATGTCCAGCACCTAATAGTGTGTAGCACCTAGTTGTTACTTCATAGTTGCCTAAGACCTCCAGTCACTTTGGCCCTGTGACCACTGTTTCTGTGGCTGGAGGAGATTATGCTGGTTGTCTGAGACTAATGATGAATCATTTATATGTCAATCATTTATGCACTCTCAATTCCAAGATTTGCATTTGTTCCAATTTTCATCACTGCTTAACATCCATATATTATACTTTGCTTCTCTGAGACTTTAATTCCTTCTTAAGGAAGGTGGTCTGAAATAGTAGCACTGGCTTTGAAGATTATACATACATAGATCTCAATATGGACCATAGCTTTGCCATGGTTTATAATTTTGGCCAGATATCTAAAACTTCTCAACTTCAAGTTCCACATCTGGAACCTGGGAGATAACACAATTATTAAAAGTATTAGAAGAAAATGTGGAAGATTATGTTTAACATCTTAGCAAAGGGAAGTTTCACTAAACAAGACAGAGAACACAAAAGCTGTCGAGAAAACACTTTTTCTTTTGTGACATCAAACTGGAGACTTTTGTAAAATAGGATGACTGCAAAAAGTAGTTAATTGGTAGGTAAGAGCCTGGAAGAAAATATTTACAATGGCTATAAGGCAATGAATTAATATCTGAGACTTTGAAGTACATTTGTAAATAATTAGGAAAAAGGCAATCCATTAGAAAAATGGGTGAATGAGCAGTTGATTCACAGTAGAAAATGTGGAGGATAGCATATGAAAACACATCTTCATCACTAGTACAGTGCCTCGTCCCCCATACTGGGGACTGAACCCGGGGCACTTAACCACTGAGCCACATCCCCATCCCTTTTTATTTATTTTGAGACTGGGTCTTGCTAAGTTGCTTGGGACCTCTCTAAGTTGCTGAGGCTGGCTTTGAACTTGTGATATTCCTGACTCAGGCATATGCTACCATGCCCAGCTCTTTTATTTTTTTCTTCATACTTGGAATTGAAGCCAGGGTTGCTTTACCACTGAGCTACATCCCTAGTCCTTTTTAGTTTTTATTTTGAGACAAGATCTTGCTAAGATGCTTGGGACCTCACTAATTTGTTGAAGCTGCCCTCAAACTTGGGATCCTCCTGTCGCAGCCTTTACAGGTGTGCACCGCCATGCATCTTTCTCTGAAGATACAAACCGCTGCCCAAGCCATGCTCAACTGGACGGCTGGGGGGCTGCTCTCAGGAACACCTCGCGGCTCTTGTTCCCACAGTTAATTTTGTGTTTTCCAAGAACTGATGTGCTGGTTCCCAAATCCGTTTCTACTGGTTGAATGTCATTGTAATTATGTAATTTAGTTAAATATATGCAAACCAATGAAACACAAGTGTGGAAAGAGCTGTTTCAGTGAAAATTAAATTGAATGCTTTGGAAAGTCTTGATGAAGGCAAGTTACTAAAAGCTTCCTGTTAAATTAGATTAAACTCGGACTATTTCACAAGGTCTTTACATTCTCACTTCACTTAAGAAACCAAAATAGGGACTCTCGGATGTGCATTATGGATATGGCTAATGTGAAGCCCAATGTGGAGTGGTTCTTTACTGAAAGGAGAAACCTGGTTCCTATATCAAGAGATTAGAGAAGAAATGCACATCTGTGTATTTTTAAATAAAATATGTTGCATGTGCTTGTATCTTTTTTTGTGTTACCCATCTTTAACTCACTGTCTTGTTTAATTGTGTGGGTGGTGTTTCCTAATACAACTTTAATGGTAATCAGGGAAATGCAAATTAATACACAATCCCATTCTTCACCCATTAGATTGGCAATGACTTGACATTTGATGATATCAAATTTTGGCATGGTTATACGAAAATATGTATTTGCATACTGGTGGTAAACATCACGGAGGGCAGTTTAGCAGTATCTATGAAAGTTTAAACATGCATGGCCTCACCCAGCACTTCCACATCTTGCTCTGCACTCAAGCACTTACCCAGGTACCTGAGGAGGCTCACTCAGGACATTCACTACACATTGTTTATCCGTGAAAAATAATAATAACCATCATGCCTGTCAGTAGGACAATAGTACAGCACACCATACTAGGAAATAATTATTAAAAAATGAGAACCATACAAACTATTATGGAAATGTTCTGCAAATTGTAGAATTGATATTTTTAGCATGATGTCATTTAAGGTGTTTTTGTGTGTGGGGGGGAGGGCTTATTGTTGTTGTGGCTTTTGTCTTTTTTTTTTTTTTGATACCTGGGACTTAGTCCTATTACTGAACTTCATCATCACCCCTTTTTATTTTGAAACAGGGGTCTCACTAAGGAGCTCAGGTTTTTTATATTCCTGCATCAGCCTCCCAAGTCATCCGATTACAGGCGTTTGCCCTCATATCCTGCTAAGATTGTTTAATTAAATAAAACAGCAGCACTGTGCATTTTTCATGAGTATCCATATCTCTGTAGAGATTCAAAGACAAAACCTGGGTGGATCTATCAGTAATGGGTTCGTCAGTTGATGAGGCACTGAAGTACACTGAGGCTGTGTTTCCTACTCTGCAAAATGGAGATAATAATTGGACCCACTTTAACGGGAAGTTGTGAAAATTAAATAAGATATTAGCACAGCATAGAAAATGCCATTGTTGGCTATTGTAATGTTATTTTTATTAGGGTATTGTGCTGGGAAGGAGGAAATGAGAAAGAATTGAGTGTGTGGTCAAGGGGATATCTATCCTTACACTTAATGTTTTAATTCTCATTTTAAATTGATTTATTAAAAGGGGGATAGCATAGAAATTCCAATTTGGACTACTTTGGAATCTTTAAGTATTTGGACATTTTCTCGCCATTGGTACTAGATTCAGAACCAGGGGGCCTTTTACCCCTGGGCCTGGTGAGTTTGTGAGAGCTTCCATACCTATCTCCAGTGCATTCAATTTCTAATAAATATCAGGATATCCGGCTGCAGACATGAAGACTTGGAAATTAGGAAACATCTTTGATGAGACAGAATGTTCTAGCAACCCATCAGAGCCTCCTCCTCCAAGCAGTGGCATCAGTCAGTGAAACTAGGAAGCAGCCCTGACCCATAGAACATGCTGTGGGTAAAGCAGTCCC